ATTAACAGAAATGTTAAAGGAAAATTGTCAAGTTTCAAATGAAAATATTGTACTGAAAAAACTTTTAGCCCCACTCGTTTTAATAGCTGTTTCCGAGTCTTTAAATGTATGAAGCAAAATAAGGGGGCTCTGGTTAATTTGGGAACTATGTGTCCGTTGACTGAAGATGATTGTAATTTGATTGACTCAATATATTGTTTTACCGAGTCTTTAAACTCAATATATAATATGCTTTCTTCTGATAAATGTCCATCTTCAAAAGTAATTGATGAAATAACTAAATTGTGGGTTGTACTTAACCCAAAAACACCATGGGGAGAAGATGTTAGTGCGATGAATATTTTCGAAATAATGGAGCATTTTGATATAGAAAAAAAGTTTAATGAAAAAAAGGTTTTGAAAGTTCAACAAAGAAAAAAGAAAAAACTACAAAAGGTTCAAAATGAATTAGAAAAAGAAGAGGCAATAATAACTAAATATAGAAACGAACAACTCAAAAAATTGGAAAAAAAAGAATAATAAAATGATTTATAGAAAAAAAACAATTGAAAGATAAAAAAAGGTCGAAACAAATGTTTTTGTGTTCGATGATCCAGACAATGGTGTTGTTAGTAGTGATGATTCAGAAAATGAAATTGAAAACCAAGATATCGATTGCAACCAATCAAAAGAAGGAACAACTCCTGGCTGCACGAATTTTCAATGGAAAAGTTGTATAGCAGATGCTTTTATTTTTCGATTCAAATCCATATTGAATGAAAAATGCTACTTAATTCCTTGTTATCTTACGCCAAAATACCGAGTGAAACTACAAATAAGAATACAAGAAAAGGTACACGTGTTATTCTTACAAGAAGTCATAAAAGACTTGTTACAAGGCTTACCAATCAAGTCTGGGTTCGGGTTTTCAACATGTGAATACAATGTTGTTTCAAGTGATGCAACAACAGATGATATTTTACAAATAAAAATAAGAAAAGAAGTAGAAGAGTTTGAAAAAGAAAACGACACTCAAATGAACGCACTTCAATTTTGGAAAAAATGTCATCAAGATAATAAGTATGTGTTGCTACAAGGAACGGTACGTAAATATCTATTTATCCCCAACAAGTATTGATTCAGAAAGGGTTTTTGGTTTACTTAATTATGTTTTTGATAAAAAGAGAGAAAGACTTAATGCATCTACAATAAAAAATTGTAATGTCGAAATATGTAATTAGGGATGAAGTAAAATCCATTTTACCTGTTTACCAAAAAAGAGAAAAAATTGGTAAAATATTTCTCCAATTTACGATCTTAAAGATCTTTATATTTTAAAAAACATTTTTATTGAAAGTCAAAAAAGTAATAACAAATTGCAATTAAAAACAGTTAATTCAAAAAGAAAAAAATATAAGATTTTTGCCGATATACAAATATTTTTTTTCTTGTTCAAAGATTTACATACAGAAAAAAACATCAGACAAAAAAAATCATTCAAATACCAACATTATTTATTTTAGATACTGAAAATTTTTAGCAAAAAAAGAACACAATTCAAACATTTCTTCAGATAAATTTTTTCTGTCGTCCGTAAAAATATGTTTGATTATAGAAAACAAACTCTCACAACTAGTCTCGGTAGCTGGTATATGAACGTATTTTAAAGCAATTTTGTATAAATTTGGGTACAAATTTATTCCCACTTCACACCACCAAGTAC